AACTCGAGTTTCGGGTCGTGCACTGCTATGCCAAATCTTAGAAAATTCATAACTTCCTCATACGAAGTCAGATTTGGGCGTTCTTTTTATGGACGTTCTCGGTTTAACATATTCTACGACTTTTGTTTAGATTACTAAGGCTAAAAATTCCTCTATCATAAATTCACTATTTTATGTTTCCCGGTGTCGTGCCGGTTTTGCCGCAAAACTTCGACGGGTCATAACTTCTTCGTTATAACTCGAATTTCGGCGTTCTTTATATGTACGGAACCCTTGTAACATATGCTAAAACTTGGTTAAGATTACTCATTCTAAATAATCTTTCATCAAAAACTCATTTTTTATGCTCATTGTCTTTAAATTGACTAGCCCGGATCTACGGGCGTTATAGGTGTAGTATCAGAAAAGGTTTCATTCAGAGTCTCAATTTCACTAGAACCATCCATATGGTGGTTAATACTCAAGTCATCCAAATTAATAACATCATTAACATATTCAAAGATGTTTAAATCATCATAGGAAAATGGGTCTACAGAATTATAAAAAACAGACTGTTTATGGACAGTTATTGACTTCAGCTTAAAAGGAAATACAGATTCGTAAAACTTCACATCCCTGGAAACAAAAACATAATTTGTATCAAGACTTAGCAGCTTGTAGCCTTTTTTTCTCTGAAGAATAACCCAATAAAACACACTTTCAGCTCTTTCAGAAAACTTATCTTGATTATTAAGTTTGGTAGCAAAGCACAGGCTACCAAATACTCTTAAATGTTCAAAAGCAAGTGGTTTTTTAAAAACAAGTTCATATGGAGACAAGTCTTTTAAAACAGGAGTAGGCATTCTATTTATTAAAAAAAACAGAAGTAAGAACAACTTCTCCCCAGTACTTAACAGGAAGAGCAGATTGAAATAACAAAGACCTAGCAACATTTAGAATATGTTTATGTTTCATTTCAACCACCCCATTTTGTTGTGGTGTGTAGACACAAGAGATTTGATGCAAAATTCCATTATGTTCAAAAAAAGACTTCATCTTAAAATTTGAAAACTCAATTCCATTATCTGAGAGAATAATTTTAATTTTTGAATCAAATTGATTTAATAAAATACTAAAGAAAGAAGTAAAACAGTTATAAACTTCATCTTTACTTTTTAAAAGATAGACCCAAGTAGCCCTTGTGAAATCATCACAACAGTCAAAAAGTACTTATAGTCTTCCCTAGTAGTCACTCTATAGGGACCCCATACATCTAGATGAACCAACTCTCCATGTTTGGAAGAACTATGAAAACTAAGAGGAAAGGGTTCACGAGCTTGCTTAGCCTTGTGAAAGACATCACAAGGAGGAGGATCAGTATTATCAAAATTAAGCTTATCCTTTAAGCAATTCAAAGCTTGTTCAGCTAGATGCCCTAATCTACTATGCCATGTTAGTTTAGATGCAAAACACTTAGCAAAATTAGCTTTGTAAGAACTGATACCTGAGGGAAAAGAATTAAGATAATATAATCCCCCAGTTTCTCTACCATTCTCCACCACCTTCATTGATTGTAAATTCTGAATTTTACATTCATGTCCATTAAAAATAACTTCAAATTTTGTGTCTTTACACAATTTATGTACAGAAAGCAAGTTCACATTAAAATCAGGAACATCAAAGATATCAAACAATGTTAAGTTTTTAGAAAACTGTAAATTTCCAATTTTGTTAATTTTAGCAAAAGATCCATTAGGATGATTTACAAGAAGATTTAACTTGGAAATATCAACAGTATCATGAAGAAGTGACTCAGCTGAAGTCATATGTTGATTTTCACCTGAGTCAACTACCCATTTTTGGTGGCTAATCGTAGAATTATAAGACCTAAAAAGAGGGATACCTGTCATATTTGCATTCATAGAAGTATCCTCAGAGACAGAAGACTTATCATTAATGAGACTTAACAACTTGTTGTATTGCTCACTTGTAAGATAGTGATCATTACCACTTCCAATGACATCTGAAGTAACACTAGAAGAAAAAGAGTTACTAGAAGGAACATATGATGAGTTAATAGAGAAGGACTTATTTTGACTCCTCATGTTATCATTACTAGTCTTATTCCTGAACTTAAAATCTTTTGGATAACCAATTAGTTTATAGGACCTTTCAACAAGGTGTCCCTTAATACCACAATTTCTACACTGTAAGTTCTGATTTATTCCCTTATTACAGTTAGTATTTTGATTCCTTTTATCACTAACTCTGCTATTCAATGTAGAATACTGAGTTTTGGTGACATTAGAAGAAGAGGAAAGAGCCCATGAGATTCCTCTCTAGAAACAATAGAAAAAGCAGATTTAACATTTGGAAGAGGATCCATCAAAAGTATGTGACTCTTCACTAGATTAAAAGAGTCATCAAGACCACTTAGAAACTGCATTAACTTCATTAGTTTAGCATGATCATTATATTTAGCAGCAGCCTCACAAGTGCACTCAGCAAGACTGGTAAGACCATCAAATTCCTTCCAGAGAGTATCAAGTTTGTTAAAATATTCAGACAATGAAGATCCATTTTGACTAAGAGAATTAATACGTTTATGAACATTAAAAATAAACAGAACCATGTGCTTTATTGTAAGTTTCAAAAAGTTCATCCTAAATTTCTTTAGCAGATTCAGAATATGCATGACTAAAGTAGATAGATTCAGACAAAGAACCAAGAATTCAAGAGTAGACAACTGCATTGGCACGCTCCCACTTTAAAGATTGAAGTTCATCATTGGAATCCTTAGTAACTTTACCTTCAACAAACCCTAATTTGTTCCTAGCTTTAAGACTTCTAGTCATAGAACTACGCCAATCACAAAAAAATTTCGGTCCTGGTTAGTTTAAAGTTCACTATCGTAGTAACAGTATTATCTGAAGGATGTATGAACAAAGGATCATCGTAGTTCATAGACTCAGTCTTAGAACTACTACCAGGTTTGGGACTACTAGGTGCAGGTCCAGTCATAATGCATAAACAAAGAAACTAACAACAAGCAAGAAAAGAAAATCAACAGAAAACATAGACAACTGTGACTCCTATAAGTCCAAATGGTCACCACGGTATGTTGGGGCCCAAGACAAGAATCACAGAGTTACAAAAAACAATCAACAATAAAGTAACTAGTGTATGCAAGACAACCAGGATCTCCCAGAATCTACAGCTAGAATCGAGGTAAAAGGGAACAAGAAAGTGCTCATAGAGCAATCAAGTATAGAAGAAAACAGATCGACTCCCGTTACTCCGTTCCCTACAAGAGTTAACGGTGATGAAATCCGTTCTCAAGAGAGTTATTTCAGAGAGCAAGATTGGTCGATCTTAGAAGACGAAGTTCTTTAATCAAGGATCTCCACTCGTAGACACCAGTCAAATAAGGATCTCCACTTGACGAAAGATCTGCAAAAAATACATAGGAACTCACAGTACCAAGATCTAAAAGGACAAAAAACAACTTTTTTTCTCGATCTAGATGATAACCCAAAGGAAAACCTAGATCGGAAAAACAACCAAACCCTAGACGTTCACAGATAGGTTCAACCAACTAGAGAATCCAACAAAGATCTCTAGATAACCTACTTTGAAGATTTAAAGGAATCGAACAACAAAAAAGATCAACAAAGGATCTGAATCAAGAATACAAACAGAGAAGAAAGTACCTTGAACAAAAATGTCGATGATCGTCGGAAAGCAAGATAAGAGTCTCACTGCTCTGATACCATCTTAAAAAACACACACAAACAGATTTTCCCAACATCATCATCCATTATATCATTTGAAGATAACAGACAGATGGTTTTCAACGTACATATATATAAAACCTCACTACAACAAACCTAATCTACTCTCTGTTTGTCACTCAACCTATTCTACAAGAAGAATCAAGAACAACAATGAAACACGAAACCCTAATTCTATACAGGAAGAGAGAATGAAAGAGCAAACGTTTGATAGTGTGTCGAGAGAAAAAATGAATCAATCCCAGCTGCAAACGAACCAACTACACCTTTAAGTACGCAGGTAAACGGATCTTCTCAACCCGAACACAAAACGAAGAAAGTACTCTGCAACCCACAAGAATCAACCAAAATACACAAACTACCCACAACACAATAAATGATAATATCAACTATAAATAAACTTACCTTTTCAACCCTGCAAAAACAAAGAATGTTAAGTTTGTACACTCAAACATATTTTTTAACACCATTATGCCATCAATTCGATTCCTATGAATCTATTCTAATCCTACAAAATCTTCACTAAGTCGACTATTTGGATGAGATTTGGATTCCCAGTTTTTCACAAATGTAGATCGTCCGGCAGGAAATTGTGGTTACAGATGGCTGTTGGATTTTCCTAACAGTATAGAATTTCTTATGAACATGAGCACCACCTTCTTTAAGGACATTGTGATTTAGGTTGGGGGCATTTGCCCGTTTGTTAGAAACCTCAGTCCCCAAGATTTTATTTTTGTTAGAAATGAGTACTGATAAACCATTGAAGTCTATATGCAGTTAATAAATTTTCCTGAAATATCAAGCTCGTATTTTATGGAAGTGTATATAGTCAATGGTTTTAAAGTCTTCTCTTGGACTGAAATCCTGAATATTCCCTTCCAGAAGATGAGTGAATTAAATGGCCTCACCCCATATGGTACGCTCTCCCTCTTTTGTCTTTTTAGGAGAAAAAGTAGAACCTTTGACTGCCTACACAACCCCCTCTTCCCCTGCTTCATTCAATTTAAGATTTTTAATAGAGCAAAACCCACAACAAAATAACTTCAGCGTCATCAAGACATTCAGGAAGGGGCATATTTGGTTTTAGTTTGTTGATTTATTTGTGGATTGTATAAATAGATTTTATTTGACTAAGCCGTGTTCAATGCTAGGTATTTTAGGTGTTATGTATTTTTTTTCTTGATCTTGTTGAGTAATTAACGACGAATGTACAATTTTAGCTTGCGAGAAATGGTTCAGACCATCCCTGTGATCCTCTATTGGTTTCTTTTGGTATTCTATAATTTGTTAAGGGTTTATGGGAATGCTGAAGGTATGTGCGGCTTTCTTCATGATTCTTGATTTTTATTTCATAAATAGAGATCTCATTAAAGATTTGACGTTTTGTTCTTAATCGTCATTAATATAATGTCTTAAAGATGATCCCTATAATAACATTTCATATATGTATAATAGCTGATGCATTGAGGGTCCTAAAGGCACAATTATGCGATCCTACGAATATTTTGCAAAGTTGGGATCCTATTAGTGTCAGTCCATGTTCTTGGTATCATGTTACCTGTGACAATTGGAATAGAGTTACTAGAGTGTAAGCTTACCAACCTGTTGATCAACACTTGAAATTGTTTGATTTTTTGCATTAATGAAGAAATTTGTGTTTTGGGGTTTGTGGAACACAGTGATCTTCAAAACACAGGCTTGTCTGGTCAGTTAGTTAAGCAGCTTGGTCAACTTACATCCTTACAGTACTTGTAAGTCTTCATATTTTGCGTTATCATACTATAATCCAAATTTTATTGTTTATGATTTTAAACTTACTAATATTGTGACATTTCTAAAATGATATGTTGTGGGACAGGGAGCTTCACGGTAGTAATATCACTGGAAGAATTCCTAAGGAGCTTGGGAACTTAACGAACTTAGTGAGTTTGGATCTTTACATGAACCGGTTAGAAGGTGACATTCCAGACACATTGGGCAACCTTCAGAAACTTCGTTTCCTGTATGATTTCACATCATTCGTATTCTTCTCTTGATTGAAACTGGAGTAGCTTTGTCAGTTTTATTCCATCTTCATTCGCAATGACTATTTGAGATTCTTATGTATAATCATTTACTAGTTATTTATCAATTATGATTTTCTTGATAGGCAAGGCTTTGTCTCTGATCTTTGTCTCTTTTTGCAAGGATAGTCGTCTTAATAACAACAATTTGACGGGAACTATTCCAATTTCCTTAACTACTATAGATACACTAGAAATTCTGTAAGTATAAAAGTGTGTTCATTTTGACTTGTATTCATTCATGGATAATTGTTGAAACAAAGCCAATATTGTTCGACTTATTTCTTTCACAGTGAACTATCAAACAACAATTTGAGCGGAGTTGTGCCTTTCTATGGCTCCTTTATGCAATTCATGCCCAACAGGTCTGCTGTTACTATTAGTTAGATGATTCTTGAAACCATGTCATGCCTTCATGATGTTGACCTCAAACCTTTGTTCTTTCAGTTTTGCCAATAATCCCGACTTGACACTCGTGGTTGTTCCACAAGCTCAAGCTCCTTCACAATCTCCTTCAGGTATTTCCGATCTTCATTGGTACTTTTTGTCATTAGTTGGACCTTATCATAGGCCTTTCTCTTGTAGTTCTTACCCTTTACCACCACCCTATTTCCCAAATCTGGAGTGTTACATCAATTTATTTTGACCAACATATCAGCATTCAAGATTCTAATTGTTTAGAAGCAAAAATGATGAATCATACATGATTAGTAGACCTAGCAATCGGGTTGGGTTCGGGTTGGAAACCTCAACCCAACCCAACCCATATAACATGTTTAAGTATATGGGTTCACAAGTTAGTAGGTCGAACCCAACCGGCACAACCTGTTTAATAAATAAGCAACACATTTTAAAAAAATGAGGTTTTTTTAACATAAAGTCATTAACATAAAAAAAAGGTTTTTAACATAAAGGCATAAAGTCATTAGCATTCAAATAAAATTGAAAAATGAAAACATTCATACAAAGTGCAATTGTTCAAAAATATTCAAAAACCAATTCGATAATTCATTCATGCTAGAATTCACATTTCTTCCTCGAGCACCGACTTCTTCATGATGACACTCAAATAAGGCACCGCAAAAAACTAGCCACATGATTATACAAATACGGAAAGAATACAATGATACGAAATATTAAGAATACGGAAGGAAAAAGATTTCATAATAATTAAATATATCTATTTTTTTAAACGTAATATATATATATATATATATATATATATATATATATATATATATATATATATATATATATATATATATTATATATATATATATACGGGTTGGCGGGCGAACCCAAACATGTAACCCAATCCAACCCATGAAATAAACGTGTTCGCGGGTTAGCGAGTTGGTGGGTCAAAAATCTCAATCTAAACCCGTTTATTTTCGGGTTGAGACAGGTTACGGATTGGGTGGAGAGTTGTCATCCCTAAAGATTAATTAAGCCATTTTTATTACGAAATCCATTTTCATAAACAAAAATAGTACGCAAATCACATTCATCTTCCCATTAAATCCATACCCTATTTTTTTAAAGGCAAATCCATATCATATCATATGCTTGCTACATGTCTCTGCTTCCCTATCAACATCTTTTGATTCGGATTATCCTAAAACTAATAGGTTACGATACTCAAAATCTCTAATTTGCATTACACATCATTTAACTCAAATGAAAAGAAAACTTCAAGAAATTGAGACTTACCCTTAGTATAACCCTGTAGCGTGGGAAAAACCTGCATCTTTATATCACGGCAAAGTCTGTATCATGTGTTAAGGAATTATCACTTCGTAATTGTGTGTGCAATTGTAATTTCAGTGGGCAACAACCACACTGGAGCTATTGTCGGAGCTATTGCTGCTGTTGTTGTTCTCTTTATTGCACTTGCTTTGTGGCGGGACAGAAAACAACAACTACAAGTTGATTCTTTTACGTTTTTAGCTGAGGAGGACCCCAAAGTTCATCTGAGACAATTAAAGACGTTTTCTCTACGTGAACTACAAGCTGCAACCCATGATTTTAGCAACAGAAACATTCTTGGTGAAGGTGCATTTGGTAAAGTTTACAAAGGATGGTTGGCTGATGGTTCTCTGGTGGCTGTAAAGAGACTCACAGATCGTGTTCATGGTGGTGAATTGCACTTCCAGAAGGAGGTTGAGATGATAAGCATGGCGGTGCACCGGAATCTACTTAGGCTGCAAGGATTTTGCATGACATCAACTGAACGGTTGCTTGTTTATCCATACATGGCCAATGGCAGTGTTGCATCTTTTCTAAGAGGTATTTTCACTACCTCTTGCCCTTCTTTAGTAAAATAACTTGACCTTTTATGTGAAATGCATGACATTTCAATCTTAAATAATAGAATCATTTTCATTTTTTTATGAATTCTGAACAAATGAATATGTAAGTTTGGGTTCCACTTATTTGATTTTGAATATGAAGAGTAGAGGGAGGTAAAAGATATGCATGACATAGCATGTGTTTCATAAACACAACAGAAGTGGACCGCACTTGAGAAGCTTTCTAGGGATATTTTTATGATGAGAATAAGGGCGTTCACGTATTTTTTACAAAAGAGACAGAGAGTACGTCCCTACCTAGTGCCTACCTTGTTCCACCTTTTTGGATGGGACGAAAAGGTGCAAATTGTCATTTTGACATCAGCTTCACTCCTAGTCCAATACACAAGGCACACATGCATGACAACTTGTTATTTCTTGTCATGTTCCTTATATTACCTACCTATACCTAACAAGATAATTGATAAATGACCAGATAGACAACCTGCACTTGATTGGCCGACCAGGAAACGAATTGCACTTGGATCCGCAAGGGGCCTTGCCTATCTGCATGATCATTGTGACCCTAAGATCATTCACCGTGATGTGAAAGCCTCAAATATCTTGTTGGATGAGGAGTTTGAAGCAGTTGTCGTAGACTTTGGATTGGCGAAACTCATGAACTACAAGGATACTCATGTTACAACAGCCGTCTGTGGTACAATTGGACACATAGCGCCTGAGTATCTATCCACTGGGAGATCTTCAGAAAAATCCGATGTTTTTGGGTACGGGGTGATGCTTCTGCAACTCATCAGTGGGCAACAAGCCTATGATCCTACTCGCCTTGCCAATAATCACAGCGATGTCCTGTTGCTTGACTGGGTAAGAAATATGCTTATGGTCATGAGGCTAGTTTCCTTGTCGATCAAATCAGCTTTTTTCAACATGCATGGTAACAAAGTTCATATTTTTTTGTTTCTATGGTTGTTTGAAATTGTTTAGGTGAAAAGACTTTTAGGGGATAAGAAAGTTGGAGATGCTGGTGGATGCGGATTTAGAAGGTAACTATTTGAAGGATGGAGTAGAAGAGTTGATTAAGATAGCTCTATTGTGCACACAAGTCACACCGTCAGAGCGACCCAATATGTCAGAAGTTGTGAAAATGCTTGAAGGTTTCGGTTTAGCTGAGCGGTGGGAGGAGTGGCAGAAAGGAGAGATTTTCCTGCAAGATTTCAGCCAGGAACACAATCTGAATATCGATTGTGTTATTGTGGATTCCACTTACAACCTTAGCAACGATCAATTATCTGGTCCTAGATGACCGGATTCCTGTTTGGTTTTTCGATGTGGATGTAAATTAATAGGCATAATCCAAAATCAATTTATGCATAAACATAAAGAACCCTAAATTAATTGGAGAACACTTACTTGGAGTAGATGAAGTGTTGAAGATGTCTAACTTCATATTATGCTTCTTTCACTTCCCATATTGGTGTTTAACTGATCGATTCTGATGGATGAATCACACACATGATTATGGTGTTTTATATGGAGGTCTTAGAGCATCAAAGAGAACAACGATATGTGTCTCTCTAAAAACGTACGCCCCCTCATATGTGTGCTTTTAATTATTCAATTTACACCTTAGGCGAAAGTTTTAGAACCACATTAATTTGGTCCCTTAAATTATGGATATATGTCATATCCATCATACTACAAATAATAAATCTCAGGACCTGATATGTCATATGAAAAATATTATGGTACACAATATAAATGTACCCAACACATAAAAAAATACAAAATAGTCTGATGGCCATATTAAACAGGTTAATTTCCAACATTCTCCCACTTGGCCAAATGACTATTTATATGTATGTGTTTATTGTTTGTTGGCCAAGTTAATTTCATCTTGTTTCATATTAACACCAAAGTAGAAAAGTACAGTCTAACGTGTCGTTTTTAGACACGGGACCCCCACCGATCATACGTTGGTGCTTCACATAAAACTTATGATTAAAATTTAGCCAAATGACTTTATTATTAAGTGGTAATGCATTTTATTTGTCTATATAGAAAGTAATTGTGCACAAGTTATCAATATAGACAAATTGTAGATTATGGAGGAATAATCAAGTACTTGAATAGATAAAATTAAAAGTTTCATTAAAGCACTATGCTAGATTACATAATATTAGGTCTAGCCTTATTCCCATATTGACGACATGTTCAAATAATTGGGTGGTAGACCTTTCTTTATCGGATCCGCTAGCATATTATAAGTGTTAATGTGTTCGATACAAATATTATTTCCCCCACTTGCTCTTAGGAGAACAAGTATTTTGTATCAAGGTTAATCCTCATTCCACTAAAAATTATTACTAGTGAAGAAACTTACTGAGGCAAAATTAGAGCAATAAGTTTTATGTTAATGACCTTGAAAATTTACGGTCATGAGTCAGGTGATTTAATTTCTCAGCAACATTCCATGGCAAGTTTCATCATCTATGAAAACATATTTCGCCTTTGTAGTTGATATAGTCATCAACTTTTATGATTCTCCCATGATATTGGCCGACTGATAGCGTAAAGATTCATCCCAGTTATAACTATTTATGTTTGCATTTTTCAAAGTCGTAGTTAAAAATCACATCAGTTATAAGTTATTTCTTCTTTTTCTAAATAAGTTCGTAATTATTAGTCGCATTATAATATCGCACAATTTCTTTGCAGATTTTTAGTAATCTAGACCGTGATTTGATTTATAACGCCTTATCATGCCAATGATATAAGGGACATTAGGACAGTGAGAAACTAATGCATATTTAAGCTACCAAAAACATAATCACATATGATTTGATCTTATTGTACCTTTGTTTTCTGGTATTAAAATGAATCGAATATGTTTACCTTAAATATGGAAACAACAGAAGGGAAACATTGTTGCATGTTATTGCTACTTAATACACACTCAACATATCCCTTTTAGGACAATCCTATTTGATGTATTCATAAGCCTCTAACACACAAGGCTTCAGCAGGATCTTTTATATCAAGGTGATATGGTAGCAAGTGTTTTGATTCATGCAATGTATAAACGTCATTACTCGCCAATAAAATATCATTTATATATTATACGAGTATTATAAATTTCCTCCCACTCATCTTGAGGTATATACTTTGATCTACTTGGTTCTTAATAAAGTCGTTCCTTTTCATGACTTTGTCAAACTTTATATACCAATGCCATAAAGCTTATTTTAGCCTATATAATGATTCTTTGAAGTTTAAACACTATATGTTCTTGACCCTTAGAAATAAAACCTCTCAGTTGGTTCATATATACATCTTCGTGTAAATCATTGTTAAGAGTTTGACGTCTATTTCATGTATCTTGAAATCAAAATGAAGTGCCATTGTGATCCTAAAGAATTCATTCAAGAAACGAATGAGAATGTTTCATGGTAATAAATACATTGTTTTATAAATACCCTTTAATGACCAATCGAGCTTTATGTGGTTTGATGTTAATTCTTAGAATAAAATTTTGTCTTAAAGACCTACTTTCATCCTATGCGTTTGAAACCGTTTTAGTAATTCAACAAGTTCCCAAACATCATTTTCTTACATCAAATTAAGCTCTTCAATCATAGCTTCATTACACTTAGTTTATTGATCACAAGTTCTGGCATCACTATTTGTGACATGGAAATTTCCTTATGTCAAGAGCGGGCTCATTTAAGCATCAAAATTGATAGGCCGCGAAGATGTCTTATAGGTTGTTGAGTTTAAAGGGCTTCATTGTCAATATATTAAGTGGGTTCATTTTGTGGTGTTTTATTTGCCCCTGCTTTTCAAAGAGTCATTGTCATGATGAAAAACTTGAATCTCCTAACGAAGTGCTAATCATAATGGGCACTTGAGTTATAGTTGAAGATTCTTGGAGGTCAAAATCCCTCAATAAACCACTCCCACTGATTTTGACATTCTAAAGAAATTCGACATGCTTCATTTCTATAATTCAGGTACTATTTGAAGGAACATAAAATCGGTAACCTTTAACACTTTAGGATACTTGATAAAGAAACAACTTACAGTTTTCATGTTGAGTTTATGTGATTTAGGATTGTAGAGTTTTGCTTCCGTTGTTCATCCCTGCACCCATAAATACCTAAAGCTTGGTATTCTTCGTGTCAAAATCTCTAAAAAGGAATTTTAGGAACATGTTTTTTTTAAGATGTGGTCTTTCGTTTTTAATGTCTCGGTCCAAAACAAATGGGGAAACTTGGTGTTTGTAAGCATACTTTGCACCATGTCTATTAAGTTTTTATTCCTCTTCCTGACAACATTCTTTAATGAGGAGTACCTGATGGTTAATTATCCAATGATATTAAAGGTTCCATAAAATGGTTGCTTAGTTATAATTTATAGAGGTATTCATCCAAACAACCATAGCCAACAATATAGGAATTGAAACTAATAGTTACATTATTGTATTTAATCGTAAGAATATAGCTAAAATTCGTTAACTTAGATACAAATAATTAGTTACAAGTTATACTTAATACATAAAGGGTGTCATGAAGACTTAAACAATAACCACTTTCTAAATTAAGAATTATGAAAGTGGGCCAACTGCTTCTATGTTTAACTGCTTCTATGTTTAAACACCGTATGCTTCTATGTTTAAGTCTTCATCATTCCGAACTTTAATTTCTCCTAGAGGTCAATCCAGCTTTCGGATTGTATGGAACCCTATAATGAAAAAGTACACATGTAACATGGAAGCCATAATGAACCCATCATGTATTTAGAAATATCCTTATCACTTATTTAAGTCACACAATTTTTTTTAAGTGATATCAAAGTCGTTTCATGGAATAACATAATAAAACATATCAATATACTTATTATCAACACCAAAATAATAAGTCATATAGACACCTTATTCAAGTATTAGTTTCGCTTTGAATAGACCAACAGTTGAATATAATAGTGTCCTAAAATTATATTAGGCTACATAAATATTGTAATCACCTTTGGGCAAAATTACAATATTTATGCATATTATGCTAAAATTCACCGCATAAGTAATTATTCAATTAGCTTTTGGGTTCCTTGAATAACAACTCAAACAGTTGCTTAATGTGGTGTTTAATAAACTTAAATGGCAAACTTAAGCAACCTTTCTTTGGTCCAGTCGCTTAAATCCAACATTAAAGTTACCACTCATCATTAAGAAATAATAATTATTTAGAAAAACCAAGTATCAAGTAGCATTTCTTCATATATGCAACATAAAATGGGAACACATATAATTGCATATAAAAGTCATTGAAAACAAAGGTAATATTTGTGTTTAAAGAAAATATCATAAACATCCAAATGAATGTTTTCTGTCGTGTATAAGACCTGAAATCTTGACTTTAAATAACACCTTAAATACAAACTTGATAGGTTGTGAGGTGGTACTATGAAGTGATAAAACCGAATCGTGTCATTTATAGGATATTGTAATTAAATTTTATTAAGTTCAAGCTTGAAGTCTTGTTTAGTGTTCACTTAAAAACACTAACATAATAGATCATCATATGCTTCAACAATTTAATATTCACCAATGATCATACATGGAATCTTTTAATTCATTGAAAATATTGAACGCATATAGTTCTTAAGATGACAATCAATATGTATTTTTGAAGATGACCAAAAAGCATTATAGTCATCATTTTATAGAATGCCTGTAATTTTAGGGACTTAATTGTGTGTGGTTCCATAAACAAATAAAACATTTGCATCATAAGTGTCCTCACGTTTATGGCAAATATGGTGGGCCAATTGATAATATATATACTGCATGTTGCATCAAAAATAAATAAAATAAATAAAACAGTAATGCAACTTAATTCATCCCAATAATAATATATACACAAATAATATCATTACAGGATTATAATTTCTTACTGCATGATTACAAACCAATTATTCATTTCCAGATTATTGTTTTGCAAATAGTATAACAAACGTTAAAACACAAATTAAAGTTTAACTATATTGCAAACAAG